TTTTTTTTCTTTTTAAAAATATTTGATTTTATTTATAAAAAAAAAAAGGCAAATTATAAATGAAAAGGTGCTCTTTTATTATTTCTCAGCCAAAATGCTATATGTTCTTTGTGTAATTAAAATTTTTAAAACAAATCACAAATAAATAATTACAAATAAAAGAAATCTCTTCATATAAACAAACTAAAATTCAATTTAAAATTAGAGGCAACAACTGCATTTTAATCACAGTCCAAACAATGATGCTGCATATTACATGCAGCATTCAGCAGTTAATGATTTAAATTAGATTGTATAATTTTGAAACCTAAAGCAAAACCAGAATGGTCTGACTTCAGCTTTGTGAAAATGTACTGCATAAAACATAATTTGAAAAAAAAAAAGGCAGACGAGCTGAATGAGAGCGTAAAGTCACTCTCTGACAGCAGGTGGCGCTTATGGAACAGCAGCGATACAGCGTTTCCTTGGTTACTGCTGTAAACAAAGCAGTGCAGCACTTATGAACACTGCTTTAATATTCCTTATACAGAGACAAGATGAAGAGAAAATATCAACTAAACTTTTCTAAAGACAGTCATCTCCCCTCAGAGATACATTCATATAAACCCCCACCCCAAACTTTATCGCGATTCGTATCTCAACATCTCAACTAACTTGAATCGTCACACATTTTTATCAATTTTCAACCGGCTCAGGGTGCAACATCCCTAATTTTAAATCATTATATTTAAATGGTCTTTTGTTGTGCTTTAAAGATTCTTTTTAAAGATTTTTATTTTGATGTGTTGACTAATATACTAAAGCAAATGTAAATGCTTGATTCTATTTTTAACTATAGTGTGCATTTGATAGGAAATTTACAGTTAATACATTTTAAATTAACTAAATAATTACAAATGTGTAAATACAAATATATTTAAAAATACCTAACATACAAATTTCAATGGAAATGACATAAAAGTGTATTTTAGCTTACCATAAATGCTTTCCAGTACATTTGTCAGTACACTTTAACCATATTTCCAAGACAATAAGTATGAAATTACATATAAAGATGTACTTAAGTCCTACTAAAGAGGGTCGAAAAAGCACCCTCAAGTTCAACTAATTGCATTTAATATAAATTTAAACTATAATACATTTTCATTTCAATGCAGTTAACATGCAATTAAGCACCTGAAAGCATTACATTCAGTTCACACTTAAGTATATATTTAAAGTATTTTTTCAACAGTAAGCACTCTTTTTTAAAAGTATGATAAAGTGTAATGAGGGTGGGGTTTTTTTCTACTATGTAAGAATAAACTGAGAACTTTGACAGCAGTGGTCACCATTTATATTTTCATTAATAAATGACAACATAATAAAAAAGGTCAGTTATTCCTTTAATGAGCTGAGAAGCATCATGTATCACTTTATAGATAAACATCTTTAATTATTTCTGCTTAGGTCCTTCAAAAATACAGAATGTAGTGTAGAGAAGATGAAAAGCCGTAATTTCCTGTTGGAGTCGGAATTGCTTTCCAGTGAGTCTGAATCTGGTCCAGAGAATGAGGATCAAGAGGAGCCGCCCACTGCTGATCGCTCCTTTTCTGAGCCCTTGCCAACCCCATCTGTCCGTCCTCACACTCGTAAGCTCCCACCTCCACCTCTGGGAGGATCCAGCTCGGGTGGAGCGCTTACAGGCAGCAGTGTGTTTGCTAACCCCTTCAAAGAACTGGCCAAGGAGAGACTGAATGTCCTACAGAAACATGTACCTCTTACTTTACAAGCTCGCCCCACCCAGATTGACGGTAAGCGCATTTGTGTGGCCTACAGGAAGGATGGCCGCTGCCGCTTTGGAAGCGGCTGCAAGTTCGCACATGACAGCGATCTGCAGAGTAACCGCGTGGCCACCTCTGACAGTGGACCAAAAGACAATGTTGCAGTTTCACACAATCATGTTCCACTGGCTTCTTGTGAGGAAGACACAGAACAGCGAAAGAAGAGAAGAGTAGGCGTGAATGATTCTCTCATTCCACCAAAACGTGCACTCAAGCAGTATGCCAGACTCTCACACCCCTAAGACGTTATAACATTCAGAAATTCAAAACTTAAGTGTCTTTATGACATAATTTGGGCAAAACACCCACGATGCTATGTGTTACATTTATTGAATTAATATGCTACTGATGAGATTATGATAATCGGTCTGTAAAATGTGTTTCAGACTTTTTCCAGAGGTAAATATTTTATAGACAAAGGCGATGTAGTCAATACTAGCAGAGAGAGACTTGTGAAAATTCTTCAAACAAATGTAAGGAAAAGATGTCATTATTTTATTTGGGTTTTATCTGGCTTCCTAAACCCACCCTTTTTAATCTTACATTAGTCTAAGGTTTTGAAACAATAAATGTATGTATACAAATTGTGTACTTGATGACTCAAAAAATGTATATGGTCAATATATTTTCAATCTTTAGTGTCCCCTTTTCACTAGTAGGGTTAATTTCACCTAGGGATGCACAATATATTGGTGTTGTATCTGTTACTGGTGATATTATAGTTTTTCTTTTTCATAACATTGTTAGCCTATAAGTTTAAATGGTATATACACTAATGTTCAAAAGTTCGGAGGCAGATTTGTTTGAAAGAAATTAGTACATTTATTCAGCAAAGATGCATTAAATGCATACAGTGACAGAAAAGACATTTATAAATAATGTAACAAATTTTTTTATTTCAAGTTAAGGTTGTCATTTTAAACTTTATATTCATCAAAGAATCGTGAAAAAAATGTATCATGGTTTACACAGCACATGTGTTTTCAAAGTGTATAATAATAAATGTTTCGTGAGCAACAAATCACCATATTAGAATTATTTCTAGAGGATTATTTTACACAGAAGAGTAATGGCTGCTGAAAATTCTAAATTTTAAAATGTATTAAAATAGAAAATAATTCTTTTTAATTGTACCAATATTTCACAATATTAGTGTTTACTGCAATTTAGACAAAAAATTGTTTTTTATCAAAACCAATAGTACACCAAACGTTTGAACAGTAGTGTATATCTGCAATTATTATATATTTAAGTTTATGCTTTTTTTGCATTTATTTTATTTTTGCCATCATTAAATGCTCAGTTAAAGTTCATTTTTAAAAACACTAATAATTTAATAACAATAATTAATAACAACTATTGTTATTTAACAAATTTCAAAATTTATATTTTTTTCGTAGGATGCCTAAATTCACATATCATTTAAAACAATTTATTTGATTTTAGTGTTTTATTTTAAACTTATTTAGACAAAATAGGATGGAATTTTAATATTGACCATAACATGAAAATAATTATCGGCTGTAATATGGGTGCATCCCCAATTTCGACAGTACCAATTCAAGCCACTTGATGGCACAAGTTTGCTTACACACAATGGCTTTACTCACATAGACTAAAGTGAATTAAGTTCTGTGGAAGCCTCTACAGCCACAAAACAACACACTCACACACACACAAAACAGATGTGGTTGTCGGAGAGGACTATAACTGTTTATATACAAAATGAACAATGACAATAACTCAAACACACTCTCCCTGGTACAGACATTTCTACAAAGCTACCAAAAGTTAATGCGATTACACACAATATATTTATGACTCTATATATTTAACTTCAGGGCATTGTAGGAGCGCGACACATAACAGTCATCTCACTATCTTCCCAAGTTACACCTTCAACATCCTTCCTTCACTACATCAGAACACGCTGTATTTGGCCGTCTGAACTGTCCGTCATGTTTTGCTCCTCCCGCTCTCCACCCACCTCCCAAACCCCACCCCCATTTCCATTCTCATTAGTCCCGTCTCCCTCCCAGACCACCTGTCTCGTCTCTGAAGGAGTAGTGGAAGACTGGGGAGATGCAGATAAGGATGCAGGATCGCTCCCGAATCCCAAAACGCTCCGGGAGTCAGCAGGCAGGGTTTGGGAGAGTAGGGAAGTATTGGGAGCCGGGTTGTGGCTTGGGGGTCTAGGGAGGATCTGGTTTTGATGTGACTGGGTGGTTTGAAGAGGCAGCTGCTGTGCAACAGAAACCAGTGGGAGCTGCTGCTGAGGAAGAGCTCTGAAGGCCATGTGTACAATCTGGGATTGAGGGCTGTAGGACTGAATGGGCAGCTGCTGGACCAAAGCGGCCTGCTGGGTGACGCTGGTAGTGGAGGGCTGAATGGGTAGCTGCTGGATATGGTGTTGCTGCGAGACGGGAGTCGAAACAAACTGTAGTGGCATCTGCAGAGAGTGAGCGGACGTCTGCTGCGAGTGAGCGCTGTTTTCCTCTTCTGTCGACGACAAGGCCAGGGTCACCGGTACCTGCATGGTGTGTAGCGGGTGATCCTGATCCACAACCATCACTGGACCCACGTGCGTCACTGGGGCTACCTGATCTGCAGGTATCGCAGAGCTCCCCTGAGCCTCAGGGACCACCTGCTCTGCCTGCATGAAGCTCGTGGAGGTCTCCAGCAGCGTGGTGACTCCAGCAGGAGTGGTGATGAGTGCTCCGGCATTGGCGGCCAGGGCCTCAGCAATGAGCACCTCGGGGTGGCTCTTGGCTTTGTGAGCCACTACACTGTCCTTCTTTTCGAACTTCTTGCCGCAGATGCTGCAGGAGAACTGGTACGTGGCATCGGCGTCGTGCTTCTTCATGTGCCAGTTAAGGGAGGCCTTCTGACGGCAAGTGAAACCACAGATTTCACACCTAGGGAGAAATGAGAAGCTTGAAATTTACTGTAATTTTTTTTTAACGATCTGTGAAATGACTATAGTGGAGAACTATTTTGTTTTTTGACAATTAAACAATGTCGAATGTGAAGTGTGTAATTTTTTTCTCTGTTAAAATAATGAAACTTAACAATGACAATAACTCAAACACACTCTCCCTGGTACAGACATTTCTACAAAGCTACCAAAAGTTAATGTGATTACATACAATATATTTATGACTCTATATATTTAACTTCAGGGCGTGTAGGAGCGCGACAAATAACAGTCATCTCACTATCTTCCCAAGTTACACCTTCAACATCCTTCCTTCCCTACATCAGAACACGCTGTATTTGGCCATCTGAAATGTCCGTCATGTTTTGCTCCTCCATGTTTGCTCCACATTTTACCAATTCCAAACCACATCAATCATAATAACTACTATGAATTTTGTATGTAATCATTTATACGTGATATATAATTGTTAATGAGGGCTGGAAGTGAAAACGGTATAATCAAGTGTGCATAAAACTTTGCCAAAAAAAAGTCTTCATCAATAGTCTTCATCTATTTCATGACACTTCAGCTTGTGATTCATATTAAGTGGGGGGGTCATGTTTCAGGACTCCTTGCCTTAAAGTCTCTGATATCCTGACACCTTGTACTTCTGGAGACTCAAGGTAGTTTGCAGTTCTGGAAAATGGTGGCTCTGGAGACTAATAAGGCCCCGTCCACACGGAGACGCGTTTAGCTGTATACGCAAAATGTGGTTTCGTGTGGACGCAGATATTTCTTGAGACGAGGAGAAAAAAAAGATTGGATAGGAAAAGCTCTGGCTTCGTGTGGACGTAGCCTAAAGGGTTCCTGATGGTTTAATTCTTGGTTCAACAGCTAGTTTTTCACCTTAAAATAATAAAGTCTTTTGCCATTAACATTTTTGGTGGCCCCAATAAGCATTTCTTGTCCAATGGTCACACCCTAATTTAACAATTTCTATAGTATTGCATCCTTATTATGTGCATTTAATAACTTTTTACTTTTCAGTATGTTAAATCTATTTTTACCTGTAAAAGAAAACCTGCTTAATAATTATGCACATCTGAATATAAGGCAGTTTTCACTTCAGTCCTTGTTAACAATTATATATCATTTATAAATGTTTATGTACAAAATCAATAGTAATTATTAAGATTGATACATTTAGAATTATAATATTTAGGAAAAATAAAGAATTTATATTTTAAAATGACAACACTATAATTTATGTATTTTCTAACTTATTTTTAAAAGATAAACCATCAAGCTATTAAATCGTACATCTTAACCCAAATCAATGTTTAACATCCTTTTTATTTAAAGAAGTCATGTAATAAGCAGAATATTGTCAGCTGGTTATTATTACAAAATTAAACCCTTAAGGAGATACAAAATCTGATTTTCTGTCTGTTTTTTGTTTTTGTTTTTAACGAAAATGATCAAGTGGCTGTATTTAGTCCTCTCAATTGGAAAAGTAATAGTGTGACTAGTTTGTAAGCAGCATAGATTCGACTTACTGCAGTGGTTTCTCTCCGGTGTGTATCATTCGATGTACAGCCAGGTTGTGAGAGCTCTTGAAGGCGCGAGCACAGAACTCACAGATATAGTCTCTCTGATCTGCAACACACACTGTACTTTAAAAAAGCCACCCAACCAACGACACTTCATGATAACTATTTCAATCTTTAAACTGGATCTGTTTATCTTACCGGTGTGGTGCTTGGCATGCCGCAGTAGTTGTTTCTGCAGCCGGAAGAGTCGTCCGCATGAGGGATGAGGGCAGACGTACTTCTTCTTCATCAGGTGTTGGTATTTGATGTGATGCTGCAGGCGAAAAACACAACAGAAAGGTTTCAAGTCTAATTTTGGTGTCAGGTGTCAGTGAGGGAAACACTAGTTTGCGTTTGTACCTGTAAGTAGCGCGGATGGGCTAGCACTGTACCACATCCTTCCATTTCACAACGCACATACTGCACAGGCGGCTTTTTCCTGAGTACAAAATCAAATGATCTCCAGTTAATGTAGGGAATTGGTTAGTATTTTTTTATTTTTAAAGGAATCTTCAGGTTGCAAAGGAAATTGTGGCATGCTTTCAATTATTACAGAAATTGACATAAAGCTCAACTCATATTTTAGGACTGTTTTCAGCGTGAGATGCTTTGTTACCTTCTCTTAGGAAGACGAGGACTTTTATCATCTTTCTTTCTTCGCCCTCTTCTAAGACAAAAAAACAAGAAAGTCTGGTGGTTAATATTTGTTTATCAGTCACTAAGTGAGTGTTTAAGTGAGAACATGTGAGTGAGACTTTAAACCTAATGAGTAACATTTTGTTGTGTTTCCATCACAAACATATAAAACAACATCACTGACTCACTTCCTGGGTGGCTCGGCACCTTCCTCAACTTCAGCAGCAGTCTGCACACCTGTGCTCTCCCCTCCCTCAGTTTTGATCTCTGTCTCTTGCTCTGTTGCAGTCTCTGGCACTGCAGCCTTGTCTTTCTTCTCCTTCAGTCTAGTAGGGGGTCTGCGCCTCGACTTCGGAAAATCCCTGCACAGAAATACAACCGAAATGTAGATGGTGTAGGAGACGAGAACTTCAGAACACACAAAAACACACTTCTCATACTTAGGATCATAGCTCTGGTCATTCAGGTCATCTCTAAAAGGGACATCTTCATCACTGCTGATGATGTCCTCTTCCTCACTGTTGAACAAAAGAAACATTAGCAACAAGCCATAATCAGCACACTGCATAATCTAATGGATGAGTGAAATCATATCTGGCACACCCTGTAAATCAGTGTTTCTCAATCTTTCCACACCTTTTTCAAATCACTTTATTTTAATTTTTCTAAAGAAAACATACATGTAGAACACCACCAATGCAATAATTGTGCAGGGTTCGATTAATCATCAAGACACACAGTATCATTGTACATGCTACATGTACAAGCTTGACACTTACAGCATATACTGTATATTTCAGTAGTTTCATTCAATAATTACAGAGGTTTTCTTCAAAGCTTAACAAAAAGCATACATGAGCAACAAAGAACTGACAATTTTCTCACAAACAGAAATGTGTTTTCGATGACTATGACTAGAAAAACTGATATTTCGATAGAAATTGTCTATATTGTGACCTTTTTTTTGATATTTCAATTACTTTTCTTGGCCTGGAAATCAGAGTTTCAGAACTCCCTGATATTTACAGGTTTTCCGTGACACTGGAAATCCTGACAAGTCAGAATAATTCATAACTTTCATTTTATCATTGACTGATTACTGTAATCATCTTATAACACAACATCAGATGTCTGCCATTTATAAAATAAAACGATAACGGTTTCCAAGAAGTTATAACCATGTTCAAGCCTTTAAAGCCATATTAGTGTAAATTCTAAATGACTACAATCAGTATATATACACAAGGTACAACATTACCTATGTGAATGGGGCAGGTAGTTTTCATCTTTTGGATCATCCAAAAATTGACTCTCTTCCTCTTCTACAACGACCTCATCATCCATGCTCTCCTCTTCCTTTTTCTCCACACTAAAATATGGCAGTAACAAACATAGGGCTTGTTAGACCAACTCCAAAACACTAGCTGCCATCAGTGTCTTCAAAGACCCCACGAAATGGCTTGACGAACACTGTTTTCTTTCCGGTGTTGAAACTGTTCTTATTTCTTTTTTTAACAAACAGCCAATAGCCTAAAGTTTACGTCACAGCGTAAATGATGATGCACTACTGGCTTTTGCTAGATGGAGGACAGAAATTTGAATACATTTGGTAATGCAAGATAGTTTTGATCCATTTTTTTCATGGAATAGAAACGCCATGCATTTTAAATGCATACAAAGCCACAAAAATCCAGCTTTGATTTCATGGGGTCTTTCATGAGAAAGTGTCCATGTGTTCTCATGGTACATGTACAATCACCTTGTTCCTGTCTTTTCGACTGCTTTATTGGCCTCCACTGCAAGCAAAATGTGCAACCATTATACTTATTTATATGTACGTTTTGTAGCGTGTATTTGATCAAGCTTTTGTAGTGGACCTGTCCAGTCTACTACATTTAAAAGCTCAGCAGCATACCATAGTCAATGTCCATTTCTGGCTCAATTTTAAACACAGTCCTAGGCGAGCCCCGGCAGGTGCGGGCCCCTGAGCGCACCTGCACCCGTCTGCCGCGGGCCGCTGGAAGAGAACACAGTCACATGAAGCAGAATCAGATCACATCCTAAGGCAAACTGTTTTAACATTTATTCCTTACAACTCACTATGATCTATTTTTAAGTTTTTGTATTTTAATTACTAGTATGTTAGATACTAGTACTTATTCCAATAGTGAGTAAATCTATTAAATTTGTGACTTTACTAGTATGTATTTCTTTGCTAATAGTCAATATCTCAAAAATAACTAGCTCTTACTAGTTACATATTGCAATTTTTGCCAATAAATTCTATGAGAATATGTGACTTAAATATTCAATATTTTACAACAAGGTCCCTTAACACAACACATGAAATGAGCAATAAATTTGTTACAGTATGTATTAATCTTTGTTAACATTATTTAATAAAAACACAACTGTTCATTGTTCATTCATATTAGCTCAGGTTACATTTACAAATACAACTTTTGATTATAACAATGTACAGTATTAGTAAATGCTGCAATTTATATGAACTGAGATTGATAAATGCTTTAGAAGTAGTTTCCATTGTTAGTTCATGTTAACTAATGTTAACAAATGGAACCTTATTGTAGTTACCAGATATTCAGATAACTATTCACTATCTACTAGTTTGTATTCCAATGGTTGCTGGTATTGATTCCAGTTTTTCAAGTACTAACTAACTGAATAGACACTAGTACCTACTCATTATTTCTTTTTATTAGACACTAGTAGTTTGTGTCCCAATTATAACTAGTAGTAACGTTTAATTTGAACTATATAGCAGCTATTCTGACTAGTAATTGCTTATGACAAATAAAGTTATTGTAACCAGTGAGATAGGAAATGTTATCAGTAACAACTAGGATACACACTAGTGTCATAATACAGGTACTAGTATATCGAATAAATGACTACTTTTAAAACTAAAATAGATGGTATCTATTGGGAGAAAATCACTAGTTACAAAGAAATAGCAAAACTGTAACAAAAACTAGTCTAAACTGAATACTTGATACCTGAGTCACAGAGCTTCAAAAAATGTAATGGCAAAAAAACGTTAGGCCTATTTGTTAACTAACAATTCAATGTATTTATTATTTACAATTCAAATGTAACAGAACATGTACTAGTATCTAATAGTAGTCACTTTTTGGAATATTCAGTTTTTTAAATAACAAAAATAACAAGAATATTAATAAAACGGCTGACCATACACAGCCTTCTTTAGATGCTCATTAACAAAATAAATGTCATTTAAAGTACCTCGATTAACCAGCGCATCCTTGTTTTCTTCAAACCTGTCATAAGACGGAGAAACAGGCTGGTTTATTTATTATGTCTCATCTTTCAGATTCTCCTTCCAGTGTCAAAGATGGGGGGGCAATCTTGCCCAACTATATTATAGAGTGATTTATTTTGCCCAACTACTCGCTTAGAAACAGCTACTTTCACTAATGCAAATGTAAACACTGCAGTCTGTAAGCATTACGCCTAAATGTGGCACAGAAATGCCATTATTAGGACTTGCACACGCGAGGCCTTGTTATTGTGCCCGAAAACATGTCATGTATATTACAGACTCAAAAGTTGCACGTACTCATCCGGCAGGTCGCAGTCGCCGCCGCACTCTCTGCCCGCATCCGATGAACCTGCGGCGGTTGCTGCGCTCTTCCTACGCCGCGGGCATTTCGCTTTCCTCCGGCGATTCGCCGCAGCATCGCGTGTGACTTCATCCCGGTCCTCCCCGATATCGCTCTGCCTCCACACAGGAATCGTTCTCGTTGACCTGTCACGTAAAACCCGCCCGGAACCCGCCACGCTCGTCGCAGCTCCGTTTGTTTCGGGTGGGCAAGTCACTTCGGTCTTCAAGCACCCGTCCCCGCGTCCTCTGAATGCCCTGCACGGGGTGGATGCGGTACTCTGTCCCGCGGATTTCTCCATGGCCGTCTCATTCTCCACCTCCTCTTTGTTATTCGAGAGCTGCGGCTCCATCACTGCTAAAGTTGTTTTCTCTTACTTCAGGACGCCTCAAAAATTCTCAACGAAATGAAACATAGCTTGAAATAAACAGGAGGCATAAAATATGAAAAATGTTGGGTTGCTTACGGCCCTGATCCGATTGTCAAACATATTTCAATGGACGCTCTTACATCTTTTTGCAAATTTAGTGCAGAAATGTAAGTCGTACAAATAGAAAACTTAGTCTATCATCTCTATAATAACTGCAAAATTCATTTTAAAGACCCAGACCCTATTTTAAGTTCTTAAAGCTATAGTAAGCCACGCTGATAGCAAGGCCCACTACTGTCGCTCTTTGTTGCGTCTCCTTTAAGTCGAGATAAAGCCGAAGACGAGCTCGGCAGCGACACACAGCGCTACGGCTGTACGTGTGCCAGTTTTTACTGACCTACAAAAGCTCTTTTGCGATATACAAATAACCAGCGTCGTTCCATATGTACTTTAAATTTAAGAATATGGCGTAGTAGGAGACTCTCACAGCATTTTAGGCGTTGCTGTCATTTTAGTTGAACATACACGTTTTTTCCCCTTTATTGTAGAAAGATAGTAGTTAAATAATACCTAGAATGTTCAGAAAAAAGTGACGACGTAGTTCACTTTTATTTTTATTAATACTAACCGAATTCTGCTTTTTATTACATGAAAATAACAATAAAACTCGGAACTTTTACCATGCATATATTATTTATTTTTGATCATCATTTATTTTAGACTTATCATTAATTTTTCCTACTTTTTCAAATGTGTGTGTGTGTGTGTGTGTGTGTGTGTGTGTATATATATATATATATATATATATATATATATATATGGTCTCAGACACAGACCTTAAATCTTATACTATGAAAATCTAATATAAAGCTTTGAATTGTTAAATGTTTACGATTTATTACGAAATAAATACGATTCATTATTTTAAAAAAGCAATAATATTAATTTAAAATTTAATTCAATTTAAATTAAAAAAATCATCATTTCCACCACAGCAATTTTGCCAATAATAATAATGTTTCACACAAAAATAAATTAATAGTAGTTTTTTAAAAATATAATAATAACAATAATAATAATAATAATAATAATAATAATATTTTAAAAACTACTATTAATTTATATTTGTGTGAAACATTTTGTTAGGAAAATACTCAGTACACTTTTATTACTGTAACTGTCAACTAGGATTGAATACATTCCTAAACAGGCAACAACTGCTTTACTGATAAATCAACTGTATTATCATCATGCAGTGGCGTCTTGTCTCCTGTAGATGGTAGTCTACACCAGATAACCTTTCCGGTAAAGCGAGATCAGCAAGTTTTATAAGGAGTAAACGAAACTTTTGATAGGAAACAAAAACGAAACCCAGTTTACATCTATACATGCACGATGTGCTCTTCATTTAAAGGTGAGTTGTAACTTTAAAATGGTTTATATCAACTGGTTGCATTGAAAAGAAGAAATCTGCTGCTAGTAGCTAATTCATAAAAACTATTTACAGCCTTTTGAGTGATTTGAATGAGACGGCAATCGTTTATAGACAGTTGAAGCTTGATTTAAAGCAGTAGCACAACCAAACAGAGTTGGTGTGATACAAGATAAATTAGAAATCATAAAAACTGTAAGGTGAACTTAGCCTAAAACTATGACATGAAATGGCATTGTTCAGGGGCTCAAAGGCTATATGGAATATTTATTAAATAGAAAAACTGAAATATTCCAGTACTGCTGGGGAAATGGAAATTTGTAAGTGTTGTTTCTGTTTGCTAAAACTTTGCTTGATAAAATTTTGCCTCATAAAAGGAGATTTCACAGCAGTATGTCTCCACAATAATTTCCTGTCTCCCCTTCACTGCATCAATCAAAAGATTAAAGCTGCAATCCGTAAATTTCGCCATCTCTGTTTGAAAACCTGGAATTGCAGTTGTGTGCGGAATTATCTAGCTTGCGTGGGTTGTGAGTCGGCACGGCTCCAGCGCGGATGAATCTAATGTTCTGAAGAGTATGTGTGGCAGTCAGTCACTGCACTGGTGTGGATATTTACTTTACTTCGCAATCACAGATTCTAGCCTATGTTTTGGAATATATGACCCAAATAAGAATTTTCATCTGAACAAGTAAGTAACAAGTCTGCCACGTTTGTTCTGACCAACTGAGGAAAAAAGCATAGGTGTAATTTTTTTTTTTTTTTTTGCATCCATTAGAGAGAATGGTTTATATGAACTATTTACATTGAAAAGAAGAAATCTGATTAAAGTAGCTATTTAATGAAAAACAAACTACAGTCTTTTTGAGTGATTTTAAAGAGACAGCAATCGTTTATTGACAGATAAAGCTTAATTTGAAGCAGTAACAGTTGCAAACAGAGTTGGTGTAATACAAGATACATTAGAAATTAAATCATAAAAACTTGAAGGTGTTGCTTAAAACTCATGACATGAAATGGCCTTGTTCATGGGCCCAAGCAGGGGCGATTCCAGGATTTTCATTTTAGGGGGGTGTATATATACGTATGAATGAATTTCACTAAGGTTTATCAATGTTTTTCATTTCACTAGTGTTTGTAAGAGGTTTTTCAATAATTATGGCCTATACGGCCCCTCATACGATATTATATCATTTATGTGCTTGGGGGCGATATATATATTTCATTATGCCATTTATTGTACAAAATGAAAATGGCAACATCGTTTTATAAAGTATATGCGTTCATATGTGCTTTATTTTCACTTGAGGAAACCTGTAGTGTGATGAGGGGTGAACGCAGCGAAAACTTAGGCTACAGTAGATGGGGAACCGATTGCTCCCCCATGATATTTTGTAAACTGTATTTATGACAAAGAACTGCACAGATGCAGATATTATAACTATCGATAAACACACATCTTGTCCTCTGTTTCTCGCTCTGCGCTGCCGCGGTCTACGGATTGAAAAAGAACGCACTGAGAGACGCGATCGAAGTCTGCCGCCGTTTTCATATGAAATTTTAAGGGGACCGAGGCGATCACGAATTCGTATACAGCTATAGCCCCCCTAAAAATGGCCTAGCGACGCCCATGGGCCCAAGGCTATGTGGAATATTTATTAAATAGAACTGAAATATTCAAGTGATAACTTTTCTGTAGATTCTACTGGGGTAGTGGAAATTTGTAAGTTTTGTTTTTGTTTGATAAAACTTTGCTTGATTAAATTTTGCCTCATAAAAGGAGATTTCACAGTGGTATGTCTCCTCAGTAATTTCCAGTTTCCTCTTCACTGCATCTGTTATTAATCAAAAGATAAAAAATGACTTTCTTTATAGCTGCGCGGGGCATTTCTCCTGGACCATCAACAACGACCTCAAAGACTTGGGTTGCATTTTTCTCTATAATTGTCACTGCTATAGGGATTCAGGTATGCTTAAGTGTGTATTTTGTCATTTTTTCCACTCTAAACTGATTATCTTTTTAACAGTATAAGTGTCCAAATGTGATAAAATTTGTAACATTATATAATTCATTTCTAGATCTTCAAGCAACAAAAACAGGATTTGGATGATATAGGTAAGTTATTTATTTATTATCTTTTTATATATCAATTCTACAACACAAAGATGGATGAATAGTGTTACAATGGTTTAATATAGGTATATTTCATTGTTCTTTTAAATAGATGTTTGTAAACGTAATTATATTACCAAAAGTTTGAAAAAATTATATAATTCTTGTTAATGTTCAGTGCATCATCCAGACGATCCACTCCGGATTCTTTTGGTTGGAAAAACAGGGGTGGGAAAAAGTGCAACAGGCAACACAATCCTGGGACAAAAGGTTTTTAAATCAGAGATATCTTCCTCTTCTGTGACTGGACAATGTGAAAAAAATCATGCAATTATAAATGGCAGAAAAGTGTCCGTCATTGACTCTCCAGGTCTGTTTGACACCAGCCTAACTAAAGAGGAAGTGATCAACAGAATTAAACGCTGTATTCCTCTCTCTGCTCCTGGTCCACATGTCTTCTTAGTTGTGATTCAGCTGGGCAGATTCACAGATGAAGAGGCAGAAGCTGTTAGAATCATTCAAGCTGTTTTTGGTGAGGAATCTTCCATGTACACCATGGTACTTTTCACTCATGGAGACCGACTGGAGGGCAAAAACATTCACACATTTGTGCGGGACAACCCCAAACTGCTCAGTTTAATCAAAACATGCAATGGACGATACCACGTGTTCAACAATAAAGAACAAAATCCTGAAAAGGTCATTCAGTTGCTCGACCAGATTGATAAAATGGTCACTGGGAATGGTGGGCAACACTACACCAATGAGATGCTTGAAAGGGTAGAAAGAGCAATTGAGAAAGAGAAACAACGTATCTTGCAGGAGACAGCAGAGCAGAGACGGAGGGAGATAGAAGCTCTGAGGGCTCAACTTGAGGACGAAGCCTATGAAAAAGCATTAAAAAAGTTAAACGAGAAACATGACCAGGTGGCAAGATACCAAGCTGAGATTGACCTTCCATTCTTAATCCAAGTGGTCAGTTCTTTGATTAAAGCATTAGGCAAATTCTTACTGTGACCTACGTGAAAACTGACCATGTGGCTAGGGAAAGAGGGTACTGAAAAATCTCATGATTTATAGATGATATTTTTGAAATTTACTTTACAAAGAGTTAATAATTAATAGTAACAAAGCACGTTTACACTGCATATTCTGGTGAATGGGAAATCTGAAAGTTTAATCATTTGAAGGAATGGGTATATGAAGGTTGTAAGTAAAATGTCTGAGAAATGTGTCTCTGAATTGCAAACTCCTATAAATGAAGGACTGCTTTCATTTATGTGTTCTATATAAATTGTTCTTGAGATTTTTTTTTGTGTATACAAAGTGAGATCCTTTAACCACTACATACCTTGTGACCTTATGTACTTGTTTTGGTTTACTGTATAAGTTAAATATTAAAAATATTATTTGACAAATAATTGCATATTTTAATATTTCTGAATGGAGAGAATGCTCATAATAAAAAATAAATAAGATTGCAAGAAGAAAACCTAAAGTTTGGATAAAGAAACAAGTAAATAGAGAGATAGACTGTTTTTCCTTGTTTATGAAATCAAAATTTTCCCCGTTCATTGGATCTGCAATTATAGCATATTTTCTGGTTTTAAATTTACTCCAATATTTCTAAAAGACTTTTGATGATAATCGGCATCATAGCATGGATGAAAACAGGCTTGCCAAGTGTGTGGTTGTTCCGTGTTTGAAATGAGGGCTGGGAAACCTACATGATGAATAAGCAAAACTCTCCCTTATAGAGAAAAGGAAAACC